GGCCCGCACAGCCCCGCTGCTGAGAGCCTGGGGCCACCCTAGCGCCTTGCTCAGGGCGACTGAGTGTCCTATGTAGGGAGGACATGGAGCCACCCTCGGAGGGAATGAGGGCACGGTGCAGGTAGACGGGCAACGGAGTGACTGTGCCCACGGCAGAGAGAGGGCCCGCGGCCTGTTTGCTCAGGCTAGGAGAGCCTGCAGGCCGGGCACAGTGTGTGGCCCTGGTGAAGCCTACGGGGCCCATGGGGGGGACACGGGGTCACCTCCACGTGTGAGTAGTCTACCGCTCCACACGGGACCCTGGCCAGCCCCCACCCCTCTTCCAGCCCACCTGAGATGGGGCTGGGACCCTCTAGCAAAGGAGGGCTGGACCGGGCGCCCCCTCCCGCAGGTGACGTGAGCTGGGGGAGGGGAGGCAGGGAGCAAGGCGGGGCCTGCACGGGACCCGCGGCCAGGATCTGGGCAGCTGGCCGGCCACCTCACCTTGCGGGCAGCGATGCGCGGCTGGGCCATGTCCTGGATGAGGGCGACGAGCAGCTGCTGAGCCCTGCACAAAGGACAGCCCACTCCGCTGCAAAGGCTGAAGGAGGGGTGGCCCCTCCGGCGCCCTAAACACCTGCCCTGCCCACAGCGGCTCCCACCCTGCACCACTGCAGTTCCCGGGGCATTTAAACACCCGCGGAGCCTCAGCTGGACTTCTGAGGTGACAGGGTGTGGGCCTGCCCCTGCTGAGCTGAGCTCCAGGGGACGCGGATTTGGCGAAGCCCAAGAGGCGCCGGGCAAGACGCCACGGCTGATCCAGGCCACAGTTCTCAGCAGGGGCGGGAACACTGTCCCCGTCCCAGGACTGAGGGCTCCCCAAGCTGGCGCCAAGCTCCGGTGTGACTGGTCACCCTGCCTCCGGAGGACGCTGCCCTGTCTGGAGACACTCTGGGCTGTCGCAGCCGGGGGCGGGGGGACAGGGATGCTGCCCCACTGTGCTCAGGACAGCTCCCGACAAAGGGGGCCAGCCCCAAATGCCAAGGGCGCTGAGGTCGGGGAACTCTGGTCCCAAGTGCTCCTGAACGATCTAGAACTGAGGTCCCCATCTTTCCGCAAACAAACTCGCCTGAGCGATGCAATTGGTGGGTGGCGTACTGGGGATTGCACGTGTTTGGGGCCCCAGGAGGGGTCCTCCGTGCTGAGCAGGGCCAGGGGAGGTCACCCCGGCAGGTCCCACCCGCTCCGGGAGGCGCGGTGACCCGGGACAGCGCTCACTGTGAGTAGTTGGGGACAGTGCCGTGCTCCACGTCCTTCGTGCTGTACGGGCCGACGCGGTGGGCATGCCAGCAGCCTTGGCCCTGGCACAGGGTGTCGGTGACATGCAGGATGTCACTGCAGTGCACCTGCAGCTCCCCCTCCGCCCGCCCCTCCATGGCCAGGTTGACCCGGATGTAGAAAGAGTCCCCCGAGGTAGCCACTTTGGCCTCCAGGTCCTGGACCAGCTTCTTATAACCTGATCAAGGACAAGAGAACAGATAAACCCGGGCAGTGATCCCACAGGAGGAAGGATCTGGAACGGGAAAGGAGGAGAGAAAGAAGGAGCCCCTGCCCCACGGCCTCTGGAGCCACTGGTGCGGGGTCAGTGGGTGGGAGGTCCCCAGCTGCCTCGGGGGCCTCCGCAGATTCGGGGCACAGCCTGGCTCTGGACAGGCCACGGAGCTGATGTTGGCATGGCCAGGGGCCCACAGAGATGGGCCTAGGTGGCTGGGCAAGACTCAAGAGGCGCCCTCGCTGGGGGGTGTGTACCCTCCACGTTGACCTTCACGGACAGGCAGCAGAAGCCGTTCACCCTCCTGAGAAGTCCCACAGCCTGCTCCAGGGTCGCGCCCTCCAGCACAGCCTTGAAGGAGGGCGCTGTTGCCTCGTAATCCACCTGCGGGCAGATCAGAAGGGTTGGCTTCTGTCCAACAGGATTCCGCAGCCGAAGTCCGGGTGCAGCGTGCACCCCACAGTAGAACCCGCGCGCCCATCAGGGCCTTTGTCACACGCCCCGTGTCAGGACACCTTAATTCAGCTCCTGCAAGCTGCACACATTCCCACGGCAAGAGTCAGCCGCCAACTGTTCCCAACACACCACGCACCAAGATCACCGCTGAGGACCGAGTTTCTGCTCTTCAAAACGGGCCTCGTTCTAGAGCATTCTAGAGCATTCTAGATCAGGATTTCTCAGCCTGGAGACTCCTGACATTTAGGGCCAGGCCGTCCTGGGCTTCTCAGCCTCCAGCCACCAGATGCCATGCGACCCAGGCCCACCCCAGCCCCAGCTCTTTGTTCCCTGTGTTGCTCTAAGTTTAAGGAAGTATGTAGTTTTATACCGAGAGGAAAATAAAAATGTGCTTTTAGCAGTTACATTTAAGTTGGCCCCATTTGGGATCAGGACCATCTCCCCAAACGTCTTTAAGAGGCTGTGACGTCACATGAGCCCATCGCTGGGAATCCGGACAGGACGCCGGCTGTCTGAAACGCGGTGAGGGGCTTCCGTGCCGTGTGGAGTGGAGGACAGATGATGCTGCTTTTATCAGGAGCTCGATTTGAGATCGTTGGAGGCAGGAGGACGTGGCTTGGCACGTGGACAGCCGTTCAGAGAAGCCCATGGGGTCACAGGGCTGCTGACCAAAGGGCCCGGCCTCCCTCCCGCCCCACAGCCGCCTCACCCCCCGGAGAAACGGGGCAAGTCTCAGGAAGGGGGTGACGCCTGTTTTGTAAACTTTTTACTATTTTTAAAAAGCTTGAAGTTCAACAGTTCTGCTTTTAGGCTACATCGAAGTCACCTTCTGGCCTCTGCATTCACTTCATAACTAGTTAAGTTGGACATTTATGTTTTCTGCAGTTTAATGAATACTTCAGGACAAAAATTTTAAAAGATGCCCTCAATGGTCAACGTGGTGAATTTTGTCGTATTTTCTCACACACACATGCATGCACACACATGTACACACACACAGTGCCAAGAGGAGCACCCCTGTTACAGAACAGAACAAATCAAACAAGCCCCCACATCTCACCCTCAGGATCTGGGTGCCCGGACGTAAGGCCATCTCGTCTGCCGCCGAGCCAGGGGTGACCCGGTGGATGAAGATGCCCGTGAGGTTCCCGCCGATGACAGTTATCTGCTCCAGCAACGCATCCCCCTGGAAGGCCAGCACCGTGACCTGGCTCAGGATCTTCCGGGCCGGCCTCCGCCGCACCGGGGCAGTGCTGCGGGGAGGGAGGTGACGGAGCTCGTGTGTGGCCCAGAGCAGGCGGTCCGGCCAGGCCGTCGCCCCACTGGGGCCCCTCGGGCTTCAGCATTCTGCAATTCTCCATCCCCCACTCCCGCCATGACCCCAGCCTCAAAAAGGCTGTCGCCTCCCAGCAGGGACGGGACACAGTCCTCCCTCTGCAACTGCTGGGCCTGGCTCCTCCCTCTGCTCACCTGGCTGAGAGGCAGAGGCCGCCGGAGACTGGCCGCAAGCTGTTCGAGGACTCATGAAGCTCTAGAAGGAAGTGGAGGCTCAGGCACAGAGCAGACAAGCCCGCAAGGTCGCTGACCCCTGACAAAGCTTCGGGCCACCCTCAATGTCCCCAGCCCCCAGCCTCAGGCACTCCAGCCTACTGAGGCCAAGCCTTTTCCTCCTCCCTTTCCCCGGCTTAGACCTCGATCCCCCCAGACAGGCACTGCAGGTGGGGGGGCCCACCTGCGGGTGTCCTTCGTGACCCCCAAATGCTACCAACGCTTTATGGGATTGGGATCAAGCCTGGGTGCCCCTGGGCCGGCGTCCCCACCCTGACCTGCATTTCCGCATGACAGTGGAGGCCGCGAGCCACGGCTGCCGCCTGCTCAGCCCAGGCCACGCCGCCTAGCTGGCCAAGGAGCCTCTGAGTCCACAGTCCTAGCACTGGATGTCTCCAGGGTCTCTACCTCTGCGCTTTAGGGCTCAGCCTGTGAGGTGGATGGGCCCCGCCTGGCAGCAGCCTTCCCACAGAGCAGTCCCACCCAGTGGACTGCCCAAGAGCCGGCAGAGGCAGGGCCAGCTGCCTGCCCCAGGCGGCCGTGCCCAGCTCACAGGCAAAACCCACGCGCGATTACAGTCAGAGCCGAGGGGAGTTAGACCCCCTGACGCGTTCGAGGTCAGTTCCGCTAAAAGTGCATGAAAACGGCAGCCCACGGAATCGCGGTGGAGGGGAGGGGCGGTGAGCCTCCCCATCCGAGCTCTCCCGTCGGGGGACGTCCCAGCCAGGTGCCCCCAGCTCAGCAATTATAAACAAGCCTCCAGTGGCCTTGGAACAGGTGAGGGCTCGAGTCACGTGACCCACCGCCCTGCCGTAAAGGTGCGTCTGTGTGGAACAGCGTGGGGCACAGGCACCCCTGGTGGCATAAGGTGAATTCCGGACGGGTGCTAAGCACCTACTGTGTGCGAGGCCTGCAGCTGGGGCAGATGTGCAGGGTGGGAGGAAAGGGGGCTGTCCGTGAGGGCCCCTTGGCTTGAGAAGGAGAGAGGACCAGTCACGTCACAAACGTGAGGGACAAGCCACAGGAGAAACGCGAAGCTGTCAGGTGTCAACGGCCCGGAGGAGAGATGCTCCCACAGGTGGAGCCTCAGCCAGCAGTGGGGGCTGATGCCCGTTGCCCCCCGTCACTGGGAGGCCCAGGGTCCACGGGTCAGGGCAGGGAGGAGGAGCGAGCGAGAGTACGTGTGCGTGAGCATCGACGCCGCGCTGGACGTGGAGATGGACCCGCGACAACAGAAGGCCGCCCGGGGAACAGAGCCCCGGGCGCTAGCTGGCGCCGCCGGAGGCCCATTCAGGGTGAGGTCACGGCCACAGCGCTCTGCTCAGCCCCTGGGGAGACACTGGGCCTCCCTGAAGATCCCCGACCTTGCCCGCTCCTGCCTAGCCCAGGGGAGGAGGGTGCTGCAGAGGCTGGGGGGGGCACGCTCACCTGCTCTGTCTACGATCTCGTAATCTAGGTCTGCGTCGCCCGCCTCGCCTCCCGGGGAGGCGCCCCCATCTACCTCCGGGATTTCTGGGAAGCCGCTGTGGAGTGTAAGGAGACAGCTCAGGCTGCATGGCCCACCCCCCCGTCTCAGGCCCAGAGCCCCCAGCACCTGCCTGGCCCTCGGCTGGCGTCCCATCCAACCCTGACACCCGCCCCTCTACCTGGAAGAGCAGGGGTCTTCCCAGAAGTCCTCTGTGGCCCGCTTGTACAGGGACTGCTGGCTGGGAGGCACAGGGCTGCTGGAGCGGAAGCTGTCCGCCAGCTCGCGGCTAGACGTGGTGCTCAGGTCGGACCAGAGCTGAGACTGCAGGAGGACCAGCGGAGTCAGCGGGGCTCATGGGCGTGCCCACGCCCCCTCCCCTGCTGCGAAAAGCCACGCCCCAGCTGTCAGGGCAGAGGGGACGAGAAGGGAGGGCGGGCGGGCGCACGGCTGGCATGTTAGCTGAGCACCTACTGTGCGCCGCGCCCCCCGCACCCTGACCCCGTTAACGGCTCTCCGCTTTTCACATGGCTTGGTTCTCACATAAATCTTCGAAGTGGGCGGTAATGTCCCACTCTACACATAAAGCCATCAAGGCCCAGAGAGGCCACGCGCAGGACGCCGAGTGGAGGTCTAGAGGGCAGCGTGGACCCGAAAGCGGCCCCCCGCCCACTTAAGCATGTCTCCAGCACCTGCTGCGCAAGGCCACCTTCCGTCCCCTGGCCGGCCCGAGCCGTGGAGGTACCGGCCGTACCTCGGAGGAGCTGGGACAGCTGCAGTCACCGTCATCCCGTGGGCAGATGGCAAACATGCGTACGAGCCGCTGCTTCCCCCTCCGACAGGGGCCCCTGGCCCCCGCTTCCTGCTTGGGCTGTGGAGAGGCCCCCACGGGCTGGTTAGGTCAGGAGTGGTCCCCTGAATGCTCTCGGGGTGTCTGCCCCATCACCACCCCCGTGTTCACCCTCCTGGGCAGGTTCCTCTCATAGGCTCCCAGGCGAAACATTCGCGGCCCCCCCTCCGCGCCTGGGATCCCCGGCTGACCACAAGGGTCACTTGGTGGAGCTGACCACCAAGGGACTGTAGAGCAATCGCCTCGGTGAGTGGCATTTCTCTTTTAGAGACTGTGTGTGGTCCTTCACCGGTTGTGCTGTGTGTGTGACACACCTACCCATACGGCACATAGATTGCTGGGGGTGGGGGGCGCCGATTAGAGAAAGAACAACGCCCATCCCCCCACCCTCGTCACAAACGGCAGCTGGCACCTGCCTTCTGCTATGCGCACACGCATGGGGAGGGGGGAAGGGCTGGGGCCTGCAGGAAGGGGGCCCTGGCCCTGCGCCCCCCGGGTCCCCCTGAAGTCTTGCCCGCCCAGCAGGGTGCCAGGGCTGTGGGGAGACCACGCTGGAGGGTCTGTCGTGGTTTCAGCTTTTTGGGAACATGGCCCCTTCACGCGGGTAAGCCTGCCACTGTCACCCTGGGACACTGTCACCCAGGTAAGCCTGCCACTGTCACCCTGGGACACTGTCACCCAGGTAAGCCTGCCACTGTCACCCTGGGACACCGGACGCAACCCTCTCTGGAACGCGTCATCTCCCAAAGCAAGTGGCCACCGGCAGTTTCATCTGCTGCTTCCTTTCATCGTTGAACACCACACTTTACAGGTTCCAGAAACTTCTGCCGAGCTCCCCCTTCCAACTTGCGTAACGGCATCACAGAGTCGGTCTGCCCAGCCAGCATCTTCGATGTCTGACACCACGGTTCACTCACGGGACCCGGTGCGTGGTGGTGAGTTAGATCCAGACGCCCCAGCCCCAGCGAGGGCCACGAGTGGCTGTGGCCGGCTCAGCCCTGTCCCGTGCCCACCTCCTGTGGGCCTCTGGCCCTGTCTCCCTGCATCTGCCGACGCCGAGTGCGAGCAGAAGTGCTCACCTCTTGCAGTGACTCGGCCTGCAGCGTGCGGAGCTGTTGGCGCAGGTCGCAGACTTGGTCCGTCAGCTCGAACACTTTCCTGCGGAGGGCGTCCTTGTCCGTCAGGCTCTGGGAAATCTCCGCCTGGGCTGCATCTCTCGCCGAGTACGCCTGCAGGCCAAGACGCAAAGATGCCCCAGCACAAAGGGCCAGCACGGGGCGAGGGCCCAGTCGGAAACAGACACTTGCTTCTCATCTGCCTCAACGCTGGACTCGCCAGCGTGCGCCGCATGCAGAGCTCACCCCGACAGGCACACACTACTGTCTGTTTACAGTCTGGGTGACGTGCAGGGTTTGAAGGACACCCGGTATGTGGCTGTGCACAAACTTCACGTGCCAAGAACAAAAGGAGGCACTAGATGCGACCTCCAGTGCTGGGCAGCGAGCGAGTCAGCAGACGACAGCGGTCTGAGTTGAGAAACTGTGTGCACCGGGGAGGGAGACCCCCCAATCTGGAAGCGGCTGCCATTGAGGGCAGGGCCAGCTGCGTGAAGTGGCCAGCCAGCCCTTGGCCGTGACTCGGCCGACGGGCGCCTCCTGCTCCCTCTGCGCCCCTCGCCCCGCCCTGCCCAGCCCCTCGCCCCGCCGGTACCTGGTCCCGCTCCTTCCGCAGCTCGGCCACTTGGCTCTGCAGGGCGTTCACCTTCTCCCTGTAGATCTCGCACTCCACCTTAGTTTTCTGGAACTGGAGCAACGTCTGCTCCTTCTCTTCCCAGTACTGGACACAGGGGGACAAACAGCGCATGAAGGAAGGTCAGCGGCCCTGAGGCCCGGGCCGAGGATGTGGTCGGTGGGGGAGCCCTGGGGACAGAGAGGACGGTGGTTCTAGAGGTAAAAAGGGGTGAATTCATGCTGTTTCTTAAGTGCTCGGTTTCAGGAGCATCCACAGAGTTGCAGGGCTGGTTATCCTTGAACGTGGTCATGACTACGCATGGCCGATGCACGTGTAATTGTTTTGTTTGTCCCGTGCCACCGAGTGCATAAGGAATTTCCTCCCCCCGCCCCTGCAGCAGCTCGTGAGCCCGGCTCCCACGCAGGGCCCCACGCACTGCACGGGACCTCTAGGTGGTGCTCAGTACAGCTTTGAGGAGGGAGTAACGGAGCGTGCGTGGGGTGAGTTAGGCGCACTTGGTCCTAAGCCCGGTGTGGACTCAGCATCTTTGTCACCAGAGTGTGGCCCTGCTCTGGATGCGGCCGGGAGGTCACCTGCTTTTGCTGCCTCTCGGCGGCCACGGCCCGCGCCCTCAGCGAGTGGATGCGGTCCACCAGCTCCTGCTTGCTGTCCAGGGCCTCGTCCAGGCTCTGCTCCAGGATGTCCTTCTCCGCCTGCGGCAAAGAGAGATCAGCCCAGGGCCCCGACCTCCCCACAGGCCTGCCCTGTGGGGTGGGGGTTCTCCCTCGGATCGTCCTGAGAACAGGTGGCTTCTGCACAGCTCGTGGGGGAGGCGGAAAGTGCTGGAAGCTGGAGCCTCTCGGGACAGAACCTCCCCCAGCCCTTTCAGCCACCCCTTCAACGAAGCCGCAGTGGACGGACTTTCCGAGGGGGGCCATCAGCTATCAGGTCGAGGCCTCCCTTGGGCTCATTCCCTGGGCAGGGGGTCGTGACTGCCCTCCGCCAGGCTGTGTGACGGTGCCAAGCACCCAGTGTGTGTCCCTAAAGACATGTTCGGCCCACAGGTCTTAACTACGAGATAGGAATCCCATGCAGCGGAGACGCGAGGGCTCGCATACCGCAGGGCACTGGCGTCCCCAATTCCCAGCGTGCCATGACCCCCACTCTCCAGTGCAGGGCACTTTGCAGGCACAAAGGTTTCCTTCCCTGTCCCCTAGCTTTAGAGCGAACCCCATCCTTACAATCAGCCCTGTCCACTCCAAGACGGCGGCCGAATAGGAGGGGCTGGGTGGGGCATTGTGACTCGCGTCTGAGCGCCGTGAACCCTGCCAGCGCTTGGGGGCTGGGGAGGCGCAGGAAGGAGGGAGAGAAAGGCATTGGGCTGAGTCGCTAGGTTTCACGTCACCTGGCCCTTTGTCACACCTCAATGGGATGCCCGTCGGAAGTCCCGCAGCCTGGGGGAGCCACAGGGAAGGAAGGTGACCCCGCTGGGGACTCCAGGACCTACCATGCTGAAAGTCAGTGACCGGAGTTTCTCATTCTCCTCCTTGAGGCGGCTCAGCTCCTCGGCTCCCGGCTCCAGGCCACTGGCCATCTTCAGGGACCGCTCTCGAAATTCCCGCTCGCAGGAAGCAGACAGCCTCTCTCGCTGCAGCTCTTGCTTCATCAGATACAGCTGCCAGGAGGAGAGGATGGGGGAGGGCTGTGGGGGCACCGCCTTAACCAGACCGGAGCCGGAGGTCCCCACTCTCCTCAGTGAGGGGGCCGGCCACACTCAGAGCCTTCCTGCGCCCCCGCCCACAGAAGCCGCCAAAGGGTCCGCCCCAAGCGGGAGAAAGGCACTTTAGCTGTGCTTTATGGATGACGCGTAGCAGCTAACGGCTGGGCTGGGTTCCCTGAACAGGGCAAGGAGCCCTGACACCCAGCTCTCGGGTCCTGTCCTGAAACAGAGTCACCGGCAACCAGAGACGAGAGGCCAGCGAGGGTGACTCCTCCAGGACAGCCCCCTCGCCCAGTGTCTGCCTTCCACAGTCTGCCAGCTACTGCAGACACAGGGAACTTGGATTCTTGAAAACCAGTACGTGGGAAGAAAGGCGCAGTCGGGTGGGGCGGAGATGCTGGCTCCAGGGATGCCAGACGCGGTCTACTGACTCGCTTGCGATCTGTGTGCAGCAGGTGCCACCCCCGCCCAGCCTTCTGCCGGCCTCCGTCCCAGGAGGAACTTGGACCTGGAGCTGGGTCTGGCCCCGCCCGTTTCCCCAGAAGGCAAACCCGGGACGTCTGGGGGTCAGGCCCACGTCCAGCACTGACCCTGGGGCTGGGGTCAAGCGGAGAAGGGAGGAGCTCCCTCCTGGCCCCTTCCCTGCCAACACCCAGTTAGAGAACTTCCGCAGGCCATCACCAAGCTCCTGCTGTGAGCCAACGGGCTAGGCCTGTCACATTCCGCACGTTCAGAGTAAAACCGAACCCCTGAGCTCTGGAAGAGGGACTTAGAACCGAAAGTGCCCCCAAACAAATGAACCTCATTATGTTTCGAACAAACGCCATGGCCGTGAAGTGGGGAAGGGACCGAGAGATGCGGGTGGCCCGCGGTATTTAACTGCGAGCCGCAGCCTTGGTCGGGGCGGGGCGTGGTGGGGAATCACGGACCCTGGCCTCCCGGAGTTCTGTTTTCTATATGGGCGAAGTGATTTTGCTTCAGGTGCACTGTAGGAGTGAGCGGGTGAGCGGGTGAGCGGGTGAGCGGGTGAGCAAGTGCGTTCTCGCCGGGAGCCGGGGTCTCCCGTGGAAGGGAGCATACACATATGGAATGGTGAAGCAGGAAACACCCTGGGGATCGCATGGCATTAGATGTACGGGTGTGACCTCGTGACTGCTAAGACAGTCACGTGTACGAGTGTGCGCCTACTTGCGTGCATATGTGTGTGTGCATATTTGCATATGTACAGGCGTGTGTTTATGTGCACGTGTTTCCCAGCTCTGTCCGCCCAAAGGGCCAAGGAGCAGACAGCCCAGGAGCAAGGAGCACACCCGGAGCCCCGATCCCGGTCTCTGGAAGGAACCGGCCCCCGGGGAGATGGCCGACCCCACAGCTGGGGTGCGGGTGGGGGTGCGAGATGACCCTGGAACACGTCGTGATGCTGCAGAGGGGGTCAGAGCTCAAGGTCGTGATGCCAGAGGGGGTCAGAGCTCAAGAAACCAGAGGGGACACGTCACAGGGCACAGAGTGGACGGACGGGGCTGCCACCGGCCAATCTGGGACAGTGTGTGCGTGCTGAAGTCACGAAGGACGGTCACACATCACAGACTGGAAAGAGGCCCCCCGCGTCTGTGCCAGTGACGGACGCGTGAGTGGGGACGGAAAGGCTTCCTCTAATGGTCAGGGCGCCGAGGCCCGGCTGGTCGAGTGGGGGGTGGGGGCGCTGGAGACGGACTCAGCGTTTGCAGCCACCAGAGTAAGACGTCCTGGTAGGAATCTCCTCTGGGGAGAATTATGGGGGGGCTGTCGACAAGGGTGGGGTGCTGGCCGGCCTTAGAGCGCTTCCCCTGACCACTTACTAGCTACTGGAGGAAGATGGAACAGCATCGGCAGCGCGGACCGGTCAGCGAGAACAGTGGGAACCGGCAGCACCCGGTCCAAGTGGGGGCGCTGGACCTCGCACTCCATATGGGGCACCCCGAGACATGCCCAGCGTCCCCTGTACAGGTCACCCCAAATGCACGACCCTGACTATTCGCGAAGAAACGCGAGGCAAACCCCCAAATGAGAAATGGTCTGCTATTTTTAAAAAGGCAGGGGACGTGCGGTTTATTCTCCAAGAATGTCCACGCCATGGTGACAAAGAGAGGCTGTGGGAACGTTCCAGATTAAAGGGGGCTGAAGAGCGGGACACGAAATGCAGCACCTGACTCTGGACTGGGCCTTGGGCTGGAGGGAAAACGCGATAAAGGACGTTATTTAGGTCAAACGATACGAGAACACGTGCAGCTTAGATCAGAGGACTTAACTGACGAGACTCACGAAGCTGTGGCTGCACCACGGCTATGTAAAGTCCCCTGTTTTAGGAACCGCACATTCAAATGCTTACGGTGAAAGGGCCATGATCTATGTAACTCATGTAGTTCAGGGAAAGTGTGCGTACATATGTGTGCATGCATGTGTGTGCACACGTGTGTATATGTATGTGTTGTTGGGAGAGACACAAAGAGCCTGAACGATAAAGTAAGGGTACATGGGTAGCCTCTGTACTACTTGTATTTGTACGTTTCCAAAAATAAATTTGAAGTTATTTCTAAATAAAATTAAAATTAAAAGAACAAAAGAAATAAGGCCATAGTTAAAGGCAAACAGCCAATGTCAATGTGACAAGGCATGAACATCCTTGATATTTAAACTAGAAAATCAGAAGATAACAACACCCCACAGAGAAATGAGTAATAGACGTTGCTGGGGTTCGAGGGGCCTCGCCAGCAGCACCCCTGCCTGGCGCCCGAGTCCGGGACCAGCCAAGGATGACAGGGGTGGGGTCTCCTGTCCTCGCGGTGCCGACAGCTGTGGGGCAGTGGGACTCGGTGGGTCCACCGCCGCGGAGCCCAGAATAGCCAGACCCGCCCTCAGACGCAGACAGGGGGGCCTCCCCACGGCGGCACTTCCCAGACCAGCCTGCCCGCCCACGGGCACCCACGGGCCGGGGCAGGCTCACGGCAGAAGGGGCAGGAGGGCGCCCGCCAGGCGCGGGGACACACACCTCCTCCTGCAGGCCGTGGCAGCGCGTGACCGCCAGCTCCTTCTCCTGCAGCGTGCTGCTGTAGCGCAGGGACAGGCTGAGCATCTCGTCCTTCAGCTTCAGCACCTCGTGGAAGTGGGCGCTGACCTCGCGCTTCATGCGGCTGTGGTCGGCCTCCAGCTGGCGCAGGCCCTCGGCGCGGGCCTCAGCCTGGCCCAGGCGCTCCTGCAGCCGCCGGCACTGCTGCAGGAGCGCCTCCTTCTGCCCCTGCTCCTGGCGCAGCTCCTCCTGCAGGCTGCCGATGGCCCCGGCCAGGCACTGCGTCAGCTTGGACGTCTCCATGAGCCCTGCGGGGGAGGCGCAGGGGCGGACGTCACCACGCGCCCTCGCTCCCGGCCCTCCACGCCTCTGCTCCCTGCACCCAGACTCTCAAGAGAACCCCCCGCCCCCCACCGCTGCCCATGGGTGGGTCTCCTTAAAGCTTCCGGGCTGAGCTGGACTCAAAGATTTTGGTAAACAAACTACATGACTTGAGGTTTCCATGCAAGGTCACCCACTCTCGGCCTTCCCGTGGGACCCCACTGTTCAGACCCAACCCCCCGCACCAGCCCAGATGTGCTCAGTACTAACACGATTTAACGTCATCCTAAAAACCGTAGCTGGGAGCACAGAGCCGCACAGTGCAGACTCTGACACAAGCATGCACCGTGGCCAGCAGGAAGAAAGGTTTTCTCAGCCGGTTTACAGGGATGTCTGTCCTGCTCCTCTGGAGCCCCCCAATGTCTCAGCGGCTCCTCCAGGGAGGCCTACAATCACCCAGTGAAAACGTTCACTCCCTCTGCCAGGGTGAACCTTCGCTTAGCCAGCCGAGCACATGCACAGGGGGCGGCAGGCTCCGCCCCCTCCCCGCTGGCGGGCGCCTCTGTCCTCGGTGGGCCCAGGTCTGGGCTGCCCGTTGCACCAAGCCCAGGCCCCCAGCAGGCATTGAGGAGCTTTTCTAGAGAAAGGGGACTCCCCCTTTGCCTGCGCCTCTCAAATGCTGATTCCACAGCGTGAGGGGCTCCTCCAGGTGCTGGGCGAGCAGGGCCAGACCTTCCTGTTGGAGCCTGAGCCCCACCCCCGCGGTTAGTGGGGGGTCTCCTCACTCCCAGAGTGCCAGGCACAGGACGCCTCCAGCACAGCACGCTGCCAAGGGGAGCCCCCGAGGCCACTAGGAATCAGACGCTCCGAGGAGCCCCCGGCCAGCCCCACTGGATGGCGAGCACTCACCGCTGAAGGTGCCGAAGTCCACGTCGGGCTGCAGCCCAGTGACCAGGGTGTAGATGTCGGGATTGTGGAACTTCAAGCTCTCCAGGAAGGCGACGGCCCCGTTCTTCCCTCGTGTCCTCAGCAAGTCCAGCAAGTGCCCTTGGAAGCGAGAAGTCTTAGCTAACGGGGTGCTGGGCGGGTTTCGCCACGAGGGGCTGGGGGAGGGGAAAACCCGGAGCATCTGGGGGTCAGGACCGCAGGGCTGGGGCGAGCTCTGTGGCTCTTACAGGTTCCTTTAGTCACAGGGCAGCACAGACCCGAAGAGGGTGAGGCTGATGTCCACTGAGCAAGTACTGCGGCCCGAGATAAAGCGAAAGACTGACGAAGACAATCCCTGGTCTCAAGACCTGCCAGGCGTGTTGGCGGCCAAGTGCAGACGTGTGTGGTGTGTGGTGTGTGTTTGTGTGTGCGGGTGCGCGCGCGAAGCTCGTGGAGGAAAGACACGAACAGTAACACCCCAGGGCCCAGGCCCACCCAGACCAGCACCCTCAGCTTGGGCTCACTGCTCCTGCATCTGACGCTGGGCAACAGGCTCACACAGCATCGTGTCAGTGGCTACCGCCTGTTGCCCGCTGCCGATGGCCCGGGCTCTGAGATGAGCATCTGAGAAACAGAAACTCACTCAACTAATGACCTGGCACGGCCAAACGACCGGCTTAGCCGCTTTCGAATGGATCGACGCAGCCTGTGGAACGTGGGGCCGCTCCAAAGACGTCCGGCACAGGCTGCGCTGCAGCCCCAAGATATGTCTGCTGGAGCCTACGAAAGAGGGCCTACGGGCAAAAGGGTCTTCACAGACATGATTAAGCTGTGAGTCTCGAGATGAGCTCAGTCTCAGGATGGTCTGGGTGGGCGTGAAATCCGACGACGTGTCCTTATGACAGAAAAGGAGTGGTGCACAGAGAAGGCCGTGGAAAACGGGGCAGAGGCCAGAGCGGCGCAGCCACGCGCAGAGGGACGCCTGGGGCCAGGGGCAGGAAGGACCCTCCCCTAGACCCTCGGAGGGAGCGTGGCCCCGCCCATCCCTGGACTTCAGATGTTGGCCTCCAAACTGTGAGCGAATCCATTTCTGCTGTTTGAGGCCACCCACTCTGTGGTCATCTGTTACCATGACCCTGGGAGAGAAGACAGCGTCCCCAATGGAGCTCGGGCTCGGAACTTGGGCTCGGTCAAGCTGGCTGGGCAGACAGGGCCTGGGGGTGGGGGGCCGGGGCGGGGCCAGGCCTCACCGACTCGCATGGCGGTGTTGGTGAGCTGTGGGCTGTGCAGTACCTCCTCCTCGTCCAGCTGGCCCAGCACCCTCGCCTGGCGCAGGTAGGGCGTGAGGCGGCTGGGGAAGACGCTGCGCACGATCCTGTGACGGTGGCTCTCCATCATCTCCCACAGCGCGTCCTCGTCCAGGCTGGTCAGCGTGGAGTCCGTGCGGCGCAGCTCCGCCATGGCTGCCGGCGCCTGAGAAGCCTGGGCGGAAAGACGGGCACAGAGTTGGGGGTCAGCCCCAGCTTCCGGGCGCAGGAGGCCTTCCCACCGGAGCCCCCTCCGCCACGCCGCTGGCCGGGAGGGGAATCTGGAAAGCATGATGAGCTCAGCCCTGGCCCGTGTCCCGTGACCAGTGGGAAGGGACATCAAGGCAATCCTCCAGGGCAGACCGGGGACTCAGTTCTCTGGGTGTCAGGAGACAGGATTCGCCTTTAAACACAGGACACTGCCCTGGCCTGGGGCACTGACCTAGGAGCTCGGTCCAGACTATGCAGTCTCAACAGGGGCGCAGGAGTCCCCACCGGAGCCAAAACCGGATCTTGAGCAAAAATCCTCACTTTTCTGTGCTTAAAGCACAGGTGTGCGCAAACAGATCTACGGTGTGCCTGAGCTAGTACTGTTCCTTAGGAGGGTGATTAGGGAAAG